GTCAAGGGAACTTTAAACAATTTAAAGCCCATAAATAATGATAAAGGGGACCTGGCAAAAAAGGCAAGCCCATTCAATTAATAGAGTTTCCCAAGCAAAGATCAAGTGCTGTGTAAAATAAAAGTATTGGCTTTCTTTATTCTTCTGCTCCTTGACCATGCAGAAAGCAGGATAGGGGGTTTTCTAAAGTGCCCCGAAGAAGAAACACTTCCTGGGACCGTGTGTGCTGCAGCAATCTTACGTAGAAACTTTTTTTTGAGTCCCTAATCTCAAAGTAGCTGAAACAAAACCACTGCAATCCAGAAACGTGAAGGGGAGGGGCTTTTATTTTCCCCGTTTTATTTTATTTTATTTTTTTTATCCTGGGAGCTGTAAAAATGTGGTCTCAAAAGGCTGAGAACTGTGACCTTCACACCTGTGCTGCCCTATCCAGAGGGACAGGTCAAGCGAGCCACACAGGCATGGTGCCTGAAGCTAGCCCTCGTGGGATCTGTTGATTGTGGCTCCTGGGCGATCTTGCACCCAGCTGAGGGCGTCAGGGTTGAACGATGCACCCTGGCCGCGCAGTGCGCTTGGAATTCCTAGCTTCCCCTCACTCCACTCGAGGCTGGATTCCCTTGGTCCGGGGATCCCGGAGAGCGAGGACTTAACGTGGAGTTCCGGTTCTTTCCTCCGGTGTTCCTAACGACTGGGACTAGGGAATCTGTGATCCCGGGAGACAGCAGCTCACCGAATTCTTCCTGGAGTCCCTGAGTCGGTGCTCACTGCGTCTCTCGGGGGCACTCAGCTCCCAAAGTGGCAAAAGTCCACTTGCCCGGGACTCCCTGCTAGGGAAGAGGCAGGGCTGTGCAAATGCCTGGCCGTGGGCTTTTGCCCAAGGGCTGAGGTTAAGTGGTTGTAGGCCTTCCAGGGAGCCCACAAAGGGGAGAGGATGCTTGGGAGAAAGGCTTAGGCCGGCAGGGGGTCTCTTCTCACCTGGTTTTCTCTCCCATCTGCTCTCTGGGCCCCACCTTTCAGGACTTCAAAAGTGCCCCCCCCCCAGCCACCCAGAGGCCAGGCTTTCATCTCTAGCACAGCAGGCTTTGTTTGCAGGACTTCACAGAGATGCTAATCCGGGGCCTAGTGAAGGGCAGCCTGAAAGCTCAGAGGGCACTGAGGGGTGAGAGGGGACTTGGCCTAGGCTAGGGTCCTTGGGGATCACCATCCTGGCAACCCTCCCTCGGAGCTGGGCTCTGCTCTGGTAGGCATGCGGTGATCTTGGAAGATGGTGAGATCACAGTGTTGGACACAGCTGGCATCCACTACAGGCTCAAGGCAGAAGGGTTTCAACTCTCTAGAGGAGACCCAGGAAATCGCCTCTGAGGCTGAGGGCTAGCCAAGAACTTAGCTCTATCTTCTCCAGAGCCTAAAGCCTCAAGGTCCCCTCTCCAACAAACCAGAGGTTGTTCTTCCAGGATAACCCCCCACTCCCCACCCCTGCCGAGAGTACCTTGCCTCGAGAGTATCATTAGCAAACCTCTTGCAAGAGGGCACTGAATCCGCAGTTGCCAACATCAGGGGTGCCCTGCCCTTGAACTTCTGAAGAGGTAGTAAGCTAGAGCAGTTGCTGTTAGCAGAGGCTCTGTCTGTATCTCTGTCCCTGAGAAATACCACAAAGCAAAGGTAGCATTCCCTTGTTTATTGCCCCCTTGGGTAATAACTGTGACCCAGAAAGGGTGTCCCCAGGCAGTGTCATGATGCTGTGTATGGACAGATTGAAGAGAGGCTATCTAAATGGAAGGGAGGGATGGAAGGCGTCTATCCCTCCTAACCAATGCTTAGGCTCATCTCGAAAGATCCCAGATCTAAAACTGACCCCAGCAGGCCCAGTGACCTCAGTCTACTCAAGCCCCAAAGGAGAGCTGTTGTCACTTCAGCATACTCCTCAGAGAAGCCAGGCCAGAAATCAGGAATTAAAAAACAAAACAAACAAACAAACAAACCATGTTCCCCCAGAGAACCTGTCACCTCAGGTGATGGCCTTTTCCATGGTGAGAGCAAGAGGGGAGTGCGTCCTAATAAGGGGTGTGGCCATAAATTAATCAGAATGGGAAGGAGAGATAAACATTGTCCGGCTTTAGGGAAATGTGCTTAAAGCATCCGGTATGAAGAACCAGTAAGCAGATGAATGGTCATTTGAGCTACTTCTGAGACCTCCAGAGGTAGGCTTGTCTATGCTGGACGCATCCAGGACAGATCTTCACTGTTGTATGTGCCTCTTAAGCTACCTAGGAGTAGTGGTTAGCTCAAGGCGGCTGCAGGACCTATCCACAGCCTCCTTCAGATTCATGGACCCCTCATGTGGTCCAGCTTTCAACGGCAGGTGGAGGCCACCGTTTCTCAAGGGGCCAAGTCACACCCTTTAGTGAGGCCAGAGCAGTGAGGGCTGAGACCAGCAAAGGCAGTCACTGAGGACTCAGGGGGGTTAGAGCACCGGAACTTCCGTCTCTTGTTCTGAGATCTGAAATTGCCCCTTAACTATAATGTTCTGTTTGTGTTGGTGGCGGCAAAGATCATCGGTTTAATGACTTCCGTGGTTTAGATGCTTTGCATTTCCTCTGGTTGGACAAATGCAGAGGGCTCCATCTTCCCAGTGCCACTGCAGCAATCTCAGTGCCCTGGGGGTGTGGTCTCCAGTCCCCGGATTTCAGGGATAGAAGCAGCCAAAATGAGATCAACTTTCTAGAGTGGCAGCGGGGCTAAGGAGAAGTGGAGGGGATGAGAGGGGGTTCTCTAGTCACAGTTGGAAGAAGGTAGACATCTCCCCCCCCCCACTGGTTCCCTGGAACACGTGTGAGGTTAGTAAGAAAATGAAGACTGCCCCCCCACCCCGTGTGTGTGTGTGTGTGTGTGTGTGTGTGTGTGTGTGTGTTGAGGGTGTGGCATTTTCTCTTAAAGATTCAATGTTTGCTGTCAAGTATTTAGTCCATATCAGGACTTAAGAACACACCACAAAGACTATGTGGACTGTGTCACCACCCCCCTACCCCAGCACTTTTCAACTGACACCCGAATGCTGAGGCAGGCCACACTCACGCATCCACTAAACGCGGAGCACATAGCTCCTTCTGGGGGCTGGGGTGGTGTTGGAGACCTGGTCTAACCAGACCCAGCAGAATGGACCTACGTTCTTAGCAGCAGAGACCCATGGTCTGGCAGGGATGAAGGGCTTCACACCGGCCTCTGGAAGCCCCTGCCTCCTACTCTCTTCCTCTTCTTCCTGAGCAAAGGGGCAAAGCTAGCTAGTCTTGGCTGGGGGATGAATCGAAGCCAGCTTCTCCAAGCAAAGCCTCTGTTCCTGGAAGTCTGAGACAATGAACACGAAGGAGCAGACATTGGCCCTGGTGCTCAGAAAGCAAAGGTGACTGACCACTGTGTGACCAAATTAGATGTTTCCTTAGTCTTAGAGGTGTCCCCTTCTTCTTTGTACCCCTTGCCCCCCTCTTTTTATTTTTGTTTTTTAGAATCTGAGCGTTCGGGAATTGGTGTCTGTGATATCTTGACCTTTATAACCACCCCCTCAAGTTTCTCACAGAGCCCCTTAGACAACAAACAAAGCGCATCAAGAGTAATCAGAAACTTAAGATGTGAGAGACAAGGCTGGGCTGTGGTGGCGCACGCCTTTAATCCCAGCACTCGGGAGGCAGAGGCAGGTGGATCTCTGTGAGTTCAAGGACAGCCTGGTCTACAAGAGCTAGTTCCAGGACAGCTTCCAAAGCCACAGAGAAACCCTTTCTTGAAAAACCAAAAATAAATAAGTAAATAAATGTGAGAGACAAATTCAACTACACACACACACACACACACACACACGCACACACACACGGGCACGGACACGTGTCCACCAAAGGAACTTAATTCAGCATATTGTAAAACTATTTGGATATTATCATTTATTTCATATAGAGTGAGCTGAAAATTTATTGTATATGTCAGCTTTACATTCTGTATCTTATTTATTTTATGTATATGGCTGTCTTGACTGCAAGGATATCTGTGCCCCCAGAGTGTGCCTGGTCCCCTCAGAGTCCAGAAGAGGGTGTCAGATCTCATGGAACCGGAGTTGCAGGTGGCTGTGAGTTGTCACCTGGGTGCTGGGAATGGAACCTGTGCCCTCTGGAAGAGCAGTCAGTGTTCTCAACCGGTGAGCGATCTCTCTTTCCCCCGCAGTGGATATTTTAATTTTAATCATCTTGAGGCTATTTCATATCTACAAACAGGACTCGAATATGTGTTACAGATTTTAATGAATTAATGAGAGGGCAGTGAGCACTTACTTTACATTTATTTAGTTAGTTTGCGTGCAGACTTTAGACGACGCCTATGGGTCCGGGTAATCGAACTGAGACCATCCATCTCGGCTGCAAAAACACCAGCATTTGATGGAGAATCACTGGGCTGCAGAGCGCCCCCTATGGACTACATAAGTAATGGCATCTGCTCTAGAGCTGTTGGGGTTTTGTGGTTCCAGGAAGCCGAAGAACCCTGGACCACAAAGGCAGAGGCGTCGGTTCCTTTATGTCTACAGTTGCACAAGGAAAATAGTCTCAATTTCTTTTTACTCTAAATGTCTAGGCCACAAGGGAAACCTGTGTAAAAAACCCTCCATCTCTGCACAAACGTAAGAAACGTCGGATTTCGGATGTGCCGGTAGAAAACCCACTTTGACTCCCTGTAAATGCCGTGCAAGGTTCTCCTTGGGCAGGTTTTGGGAGTCAGATAGATGAAAAACTTCTGTCGTCTGGGCCCGTACATCCTGGATGGACAGCTGACCTCACCCAGCCTCTGCGGTTCCACCTGCGTAATGGGCCGAAATTCCAGCTTGCTCTCTCACCAGCCCCTTGACTGAGTCACTAGAGGGGGATAATTAGTACAGTTGTTGGGTCACGGGTTGTCGTGCGCACTGTACTGCGTCTATCCTGCGCGTTGGCTAGGAGCCTGGCCACAGCGGCTGCTGGTGAGCATAGCTAATAGTGTGTCCTACGCCGGGACGGGATTTGCGGAGTGCTGGGTGCTCCCCAAGTCAGTGTGGGGGCAATTTCTCATGGTCTTAAAAAAAGTATCACAGGCCACCAAATGGTCCAGGATGCAGCACGGTATTTAACCACCCACGACGCCTCCAGCGAGGGAGGGGGTGAATGGTGGGGGAAAGGTCCCGAAGCTCCGCCCCTGGGCAGGCGCATCCTCGGGTGGAGACTTGGGCACAGAGGTCTTACCAGTCCCGGGAGCGGCCCCTGCTGTCTGCTCTCGTCCTAAGCCTAGCTTCCTCTGAGCGCAAGTCGCTGCCTTCCCGGCATAAGCTTAAAATAACAGATCTGCAAACTCTAAAGGTGCTAAACCTCCAACGCTTCCCTCCTAGCGGTAGGGGACGGCACCCCGTGCACTTTGGACTCCTGCTGTGCTCCACACTCGGTCTCCCAGGGCCACCACCTCAATGCCACCTTCCCACTTTCAAAAGCCTGAGGAGGAGGGGAGCAGGGCCAGGGCCGGAGTACCTTGGAAGGACCCAAGATGACCGAGGCCACTTTTCTCCCTTAGCCATTCTGGCTCGCCTGCGCCCTCTACCTGCCGCGGTAGGAATCAGCCCTCAGGGAGTCTAGGGGAGGAAGGCGAGAGGCGAGGCCCCCATGCTGGGCACTCAGGTCTCTGAACAACTCAGGCTTCGTTTCCACAGGAACATTTACCTCTGCTTTCCTCCTTGGCTTTTCTTCTCTTTCTTTCTCCTTTTTTTTTTTTTTTTTTTTTTGGAAAGGAGCAAACATTCCAGTTTTAATGTGGCTCAATTATCTCGTTTACACGACGTAAAATGTTTCTCTTTAACTCATTTCAATCTAGTAAATATGCTTCAGCAAGTAGCTAATTTTTCAGGGATGGCTTTGCCTCGCCATTTGCATATAAAGCGCTTTGGGGCCTAGTCTGTCTCGCGGGGCGGGGGGAGTCGCTAGCAGCGGGACCTCCTCCTCCAGGTAGGGCACCTGGATTTGACTTCAAAAAAGGCACTGTGTCTGGTTGGAGGGGCTCACCCCTCCCCCAGTGAGGCCTCTGGCCCTGACCAGCACGTATCCCGAGGAGAGGGCGCCTCCCCCCACTGGGTGCCACAAGGGGAGCGAGGGTCGGGGACACATCCATCCTCAAGTGCGTTTATTAAATCGCATCTGGAGATGGATGGACGTGGATAGCAGAGAGGAAATCACAGGGCTCAGTTGAGCAATCTTCTGGCTTTAAATTCCGAATAAAAGTCTGGAATATTCCCGGGTCAGAGGGGCACCGTCTCATTAAAACCACTCTCGTCCCGAAACTGCAATGCAGGCATTAAAGTGCAGTATTTTTCAATTAGAGCTGACGAATTCAATCAAAATTCCATAGATTAGGATGAAATGAGGCATGGGTCATTTACAGGGGAATTTAATTGCCGAGCCATTAGACAAATAGTATATTTGCCATTCCCGCGTTATCCATCATTTTCGACATCAATACCGGGGCCGCATCTCCCCGTCCCGCGGCCGCCCGGCGTCGGCTGTAAACACTCCCTTCCCCGTATCTTCTGATTATATCTGATTTCATTTAGGGCCATGGGGGATTATAAATGTTCACGCAATCAAGTTCATTAGGACTTCAAATCGCATTTCGGTTTGGGGTGGCTCCGCCGCCGCTGTGCTCGGAGCTCTTCCCAACCCCAGCGCGAAGCTCGCTGTCATCCTCCGCAGTCGCAAGCATCGCGGCGTCCTTTTGTCTTCCGACGCCGGGTTCCCGAGGCCTGGGCGAGCTGGGACACCCCACCCACAGATCCGGACTACCGGACGGTGGGCTGGACCCCTGCACCCCAGGCCCTACAGCGGGGGCTCTGCAGGCTTCGGAAGAACCCCTCCTCCCAGTGTTGGGAGGTGAAGCCCCCCCACGCGGCCTGGGGCGCTCAAGGACGCGATGCCTGGGATGCGCGAGCAGAGCGTTCCCCGCGTGTTCGCGGACCACGAGTGGGTGCAAACTACGCTTTTCCAGTCTCAGCCGGCACCGCGGGCAGTGTCTGGAGCTCTCAGAGGCCTGAGTCCCACGGACGCAGGCCTCTGAACGGCTCTGGGGACTGACACTGGGACCCCCCCACACCCCAACACAGCCTAGTTTCTTTTCACTACGAGGGCTCCGGTGGGGGCGGTACCCAGCCGAGCCATTCTCTGTTCCTATTAGCAAACCCGGGAGACAAAGGAGGAGGCTCTTCAGCGGCAAGAAAGGCTCAAGACATCCCTTCCAGCGCAGTTGAAAAATAATAGCTTAGTATTAACTGCTTCTCATAAAAATATACTTTCACAGAGATACAGTTACAAGAAGATACCCCTCATTTTATCCCCGAGTTTTGTGCTCATTGCTGTTAGCTGCCTCAGTAATTTAATTGGAATAGAACGTGAGAAATGTGTCATTTTTGAGGAACTTATGCATCACTTCCTAGAAATCTCATTGTGTTAACTAGAAGCCTACTGCGTTCTGTTTAGAAGCCGTAATCACATTTTTATGTGTCTGTATTACTCGTTAATGTGACCTCCTGTCTTTAGCAGATTAAAACGAATGTTCTCTTGGTAAGAACTGCAGCAAACTCCGGCGTACATCAGATCCACGGAAACCCCGTTTTCCAGGCTCGCCAACTTTTCTTCAGAACAGGGGAAAGGAAATCTGAAGAGGATTAAAAAAAAAAAAGCCTACCAAATGAATAATTACACACCAAATTAAAACCCTGCATTAAACGCACTCAACAGCAATATTGCGTCCTCAATCCTGTTTACTGCTTACAAATTGCATTACAAAGGAATCTACTCTTTTTATTGGAGTGATTAAGCAAACAGTTTTAGGACAGCAGAAACACGATCTGGGAGATTACATGGAGGCTGCAAGCCCAGCCACTTACATATTGCAATGGTATAGTTTTGCTAAAGCGCACGTTTAACACACAAATGAGGATCGGGCTGTCATTATGGTACCATAAAAAAGTCAACTGAAAATCATTTATTTATAAACACCTCGCCTGTACAATGTGCATATTTAGTACAAAGGGAGCAAGCAACTCCACAATCAATACTTTAACTACTGATTTTTTTAACTACACCCCGCGATTCTATAGGGTATTTATAGATCTGTCGTTTTCCCGTGCTCGCTTCCCTTTAGCAGGTGGGCCCCTTGGTGTTTTCTTCCTGTTTTAACTGTGGGCAGAGCAGGCCTGAGGGCCAGGGTGAGAGAGTTTGCTAATGGCGCCACCTGCAGGACTGGACGAGAAGGACTTCTCCACCTCTAGTCTTTCAGGGGGCTTCAGATTTATCTCAGGCTTATTGTAGCAATTTATTAAAACAATTGAATGTTTATGTCATCACAGAAAGAACATTCATGACCAATCCTAGAGTTTGCAGAATATTTTGATACTGGTAAACGATGCTTTAGCATTGGTGTTAAGATGGTGTGTTGACTAGAATATTTTGATACTGGTAAACAATGCTTAAGCATTGGTGTTAAGATGGTGTGTTGACTAGAATATTTTGATACTGGTAAACGATGCTTAGGCATTGGTGTTAAGAATGGAAATACCTGGATTTTGCAGCTACACATGGAAGATTTTCCAAAAGGAATACGCTTATTTATTTTTACTTTTTATTTCTTTTGGTTTCTCGAGACAGAGTTTCTCTGTGTAGTCCTGGATGTCCTGGAATTCTCTCTAGACCAGACTGGCCTTGACCTCAGGAGCCACCTTCGTGGGATTAAAGGTGTTCACCACCACCGCCCAGGTGGAATAATTTGCTTTTTAAAAAGATTTTACTTTTAATTATGTGTAAGTGTGGGTGTCTGTGCACGTGTGAGTACAGATGCCTGTGGATGCTCAGAAGAGAACCTGGGGTACCTTGGGGTATGGGCAGTTGAAAGTGCAGACAAGGCTGCTGGGGACTGAACTCAGGTCCTCTGCAGAACAGCACTGCTTAACCCCTGAGTCCACCCCCAATATGTCCTTGGAACAATGGGATAAAAGAGGCCTATCACGTGGTCTTGGGAGCAGACTTTAAGAGCTCAAAGCCACTTGGCATACCAGATTCTAGGGACTGAACAACTTGTTACGTGCCCCTGGTGAACTGGGGAGGCTGGGTGACTGGAGCCAACTGGATGGTTCTCCAAGCCTGTGTATAATGGTGATTCCTGTGGTGGATAAGTGTTCTCTGCACAAGTTCAGCAACCCGCCTGTCAGCGTGGGCCTGAGGGCTAACTCAGAGACTGGAAATGTGATTATACACAGTCGCTGAGATTAGCAGGCCCCCTCATAACCAGAGAGCCCACACTTTTCATTTTTCTTCAAATCACACGGCATCCGTGATTATTACCCGACTTCAAATTAAACTGACGCACACACTCTACCAAGATGCCCAGTGGTGCACCCAGAATTTCAAATGAACATGTCTCATAGCGCCTACTCACATACTGACTGTCCCTGGCCTCTGGGCTGTGTCGAGGTCCAGCTGTGACCATTTCCCTCTGTCTAGGGAACCCACCTCCTCAGGGTTGATGGCGGTGTGTTTCTGACTTCAGTGTGGTCGGATTACGAGCAGTAACCAGACACGCTTGATGGCAGGAGGAGGGAGACGTGCCTTTCCCCTCTTTTTTATACAAGTAGCAGGTGAAAGGAGCGCTCGTTTCCATGTGGGTTTGAAACCCAGGAAATATGCCACGGAGTCAATGCTAAGGAGCTCCAGAGAGAGCTGACTCATTGGTTAAAAGCATGCACGGCTCTTGCAGAGGATCCAAGTTCACTTTTCAGCAGCCGTATCAGGCAGCTCGAAACTGATGCTGTGATGACAACTCTGGTGGCCCACCAGCCCTAGCACCAGCACACACATATATGTGGTGACATATTATTTATGATTTATTAAAACTTGCCCGAGGATTCAGAAAGCAAAGTCAACCACAAGCCATAGACCCCAGGCACACACCTTTAATCCTAACAGCTAGAAGTTAGGAGGTGGTACACACCTTTGATTCTAGGACTCAGGATTAAAAGGTAGATGGATCTCTGTGAGTCCAAGGTCACCCAGATCTGCACAAGACTGATCCAGTCCTAAAGAGAAACAGCTCACTCAAAGATGATCTCAGAATCTGGGATCACACGCCTTTAATCCCAGCATTAGGGAGGTATATAAGACAGGAGCAGGGTCTCAGTATCAGGCATTCGTTCTCCAGCCACACTGAGGATAGGAAGACATTTAGTCTCAGGATTTTCCAGCAACACTGAGGAGAGGCAGCAGGATCAGCCCATTCAGCCTGAGGTAGTGGTAATAGCTAGTGGCCCGCTACTTTGCCTTTCTGATTTTCAGTTTGAAGCTTGAAGCCCAGTATCAGTCTCTGGGTCATTTATTTTTCATGCTACATGCATACATACATACATACATACATATAATTAGAAGATAAAATAAGTCATTTGAAATAAAATAAAAAACATAAATGTTAAGCATATAGAATTGCTCTAATGTTAAGCATATAGAATTGCTCTAGACTCTAGGAAAAATACGCTGAATGAGAACTGTAACAGAAGGGAAAGAAGGAACGACTTGATAAGAAAAAAATCAGGGTGTTTCTTATCTGCTGGAGAAACAGCAAGTTGAACTAGTTTAGTCTCAGAGGAGCGTGGTTTTGGAAGTTTATCTTAAGTAATTGATAGTCCCACTTCCTTTTCTTTCTTGTAATAGCCATCAGAAAAAATCCTATCAGTTCTGTTTTGCTAAAACAAAGCAAATTCCTAGCAATCGTTAAACTCTGGAAGACCATGGATGAATTCCATTTTACATGGTGATTGGCTTAGTGCCAAACAGCCACGTAGCTGTTAGGGACTCACACAGTTATAGTATTCACTCAGGACATCATTTGTGTGTCATGACACCCAGGAGAACCTGGGTGGTTCACAGGCTATGTCCATCGTCTTGAAGCTGTGACATCATGCTCTGGAAAGGTCAGAGGGCAGAGTGGAAAGCTCCTGGTTGTCTGGAGGGTCAGTTTATCGGTGTTACTGCTACACATGGCCCATGCCAACAAGGATGGTTTGGTTTCGGGTCATGCATCCAAGTGCCTGCACACCAGGAATGTGGTAGCCCTCACTCAACAGAAAGGAAGAGGGAGGTGGCTGGAAGCAGTCGTTCCTCCCCAAGCTCCTCTTGCCCTGCCCCAGTGGCTTCAGAAAATCTAGGACAGTGGTTCTCAACCTTCCTTATGCTGTGACCCTTTAATACAGTTCCTTGTGTTGTGGTGACCCCAATCATAAAATTTTCATTGCTACTTCATAACTGTAACTTTGCTCCTGTTAGGAATCATAAATATCTGTTTTCTGAAGGTCTTAGGTGACTGCTGCAAAAGGGTTGTTTGACCCCCAAAGAGGTTGAGAACTACTAATCTGGGATGTTACCCTGCTTTATTTAGCTACCAGGTCCACGGGAAGCAGGGCAAACAATGAGTGTGTGGCTGATAATGCATCCGAGCCCAGGCTCTGCCTCCAGCAGACTCGCAAGAAGCTCAGTTAAATAAGTGGACAAATGTCAGTAGAGAGATAAAACAAAACGCACGCTGGAACCCAGCTGAAAATAGCAAATATTTGTGAGGGCACGGAACAGCCGGTAGCCTTGTGTGTTGTGGGAAGCGAGTCGAAGATTTCTTAGTCAAACAGAAACTCGAGGCAGAGCCGCTGTCTGAGCCAACCCACTGCCAGGTATTGTCAACCCGACAAGATCTAGAATCAACTAGGTGTGTCTGTGAGGGATTTCTGGATTGAGTTGAGGTGGGAAGCCTCAGGCTAAATGTGAGCGGCACCATCCCCTGGGCTGGGGTCCTGGATCAGTGAAAAGCAGCAGGTGAGTTGGGCACCAGCATCCACCTCTCTGCTTCCCCAGTGTGGATGAGGTGTGAACACCTCCCCCAGCCCCGCCCTCCGTGGTGGAATGTACCCCCTCCAAATGGGAGTCAAAGAAGCCCTTTTATCCCTTAAATTGCTTCTTGCAAGGTATTTGATCACAGCAACAGGAGAAATTGTGAGGGGTGGGGGGTGGGGAAAGGGTACCCTGATAGTTGAGGGATACACCTGGAGCATTTTTCTCAGGTCATTTGGAAAGGAGAGGGTGGCTGAGAATATGGCCACAGAGAATAAGCACATACTTTGTCCGAATTTAACGCGGCCTGGGCTTCCAAGTCACTTGCTGGTGTTTTGCCTTTTTCTCGGCTTCCTCCTACTATCTGTACAAACAGCCGGAAGCACCCATCGGGTTCTTTCTCTAGGCTAGATTCTGGGCCTCAGGGAGACTTAGTACCGGCAGTGAAGTGTCACAGATGAGTGGAGAATTCCAAACGTTCAGAACACACAGACTGTGAGATTCTAAACCTCCATGGACCATGTCACCATCTCTAACCTAGCAAGAGGGGTGCCAGTAAGCAAACTGCAGTCTACTTCTTTGAGATAACTGCTCTTGCTGATGCGTGAGGGTGCCTGACTCAGAATTCATCTACTGTGGCTGTCACCATGGGATGTTCGCCGTTATCCAGTGTACCGTATTCCATTCCAGGGCAAAGCAGCCTTCCCAGTTCCTCTCAGAACTGCAGTTCCTAGCCCACTCTCTGGTTTTCCATTCAGTGAAGTTCAGATCTCTTGGAGGCACAGGCCAAGGTCTCCTGGTCTGTCTGTCCCCAAATCTCTCCA